TGTTGCACAACATCTCCAACAAAGGTTTTCAACATGACAGACAGAACACCAGTAACGTGTTTTCAGGCATCATTTTGTGATAAATGGCCATTTACTGGTCTACTCACTTTTAAACAGACATTTGTGAGTGGCAGCGCTGATTGGTTCACGTTTTGGCCAGATTATTCTGTAATCAGCTCCAAATGTACTGAACTCAGAGGTATGTGGACAGAAACTGGTCAGGAACAGGGAACTCTAGAGTTAGTCTAGAACAATCTAGCACCAGAGGCTGGGATAGGGAGGCTTAAATAGCAGCAGGAACAGGCGGCCCTGATGAGAGACAATGAGCGCAGAGCGGAGCAAAGCAGATGGGAGCAACAAGGAGCAAAACCACGCCTAAAGGTCAAGATCATGACAGGCGTAGTACAGGTCCTGATGTAGATGAGGCCCAGCATCTCTATATTTTCGTTTCTCCTAATTTTTCATCCAATGTAACGCAGTTTGTGAAAAACCATAATACTCCAATTGTCATAATTTTGGCGCTGATGGCTGGTTTGATTGCTCACTTCGTTCACCTGTCCAGCTCTGCCCTGCTTTCTGATCACTGTTCATCTGATCCACCCGATCCTGCTCCTATTTATACTGCCTGTTTCCAGCCATCAGCACCAGATTATACTTGAGCCTTTGGTGTTAAGAGTTCTCTAGCATTTCTTTCGTGTTCTGATTGCCTGATCCTGATCCGTTTCTGTATTTGGAACTTTGAGCCAGTCTGCCCCCGTCTGATTTGTCTGCCTTGCCTGCCTTCCTATGTGAAGTTGGATCTGATCTCCTGTCAGCTCTGCAGCCTTTTAGGCTTCTGCATCTGGAACTCTCTGGCAGCGTCCGCTGCGTCTTGCCAGCCGACCGGCTGAAATCGTCCTTGTTCTCTGGGCATGGACTGAACTCTCAAACCAGGTTAGTGACTCACGCATTCATAATCATCCTCCATCAGATTATCGTGGTCACTAACCTGTGTTTCTTCTCTTATAGATGTTCCTGCTATAGACGGCCTGACCATTGATACCATGGCTCCACAGCCGTTGTTTAATTAAGCATTTTAAGTTGTTCCACTGTCAGTCTTGCCTGGATGCTGGGCCCTACGTTCAGAGCACATTACAATTTTTTTAACAGTAATTCATGGTATGAAATGCAGCAGTAAAATCAAGCATTACAACACCTATTATTTCCTCTCCTCCATATCCTTGAACCAGTCATCAACCGTCTGAGTCAGGGCAGTGGATGTTGAATGTTCTCCTCATATTGGTTTAAGCAAATTATGATCAAGGTTGTAAACACCAGGTGGTTTGTTTTTACAATTCATCAGAGGTGGCTGGTCAATAAAGGACGCTAGGGTGCCGCCCCACCCACCAAAATGACCTTGATTAACACATAAAAAACAAATAAAAATCAAATTATGAAATCAAAATACTTTAAAATATATTCATATAGTTTTTAGATGTTCAAGATAAATATTTAATCTTTAATGATGAGTAAAGTTTTTTTGTTCATCGTCAGATTGGTAACATATTTCCGCCCTTGGGCACAAAAATCTTTGGCCATAGACTCTCTTTAAAAGTTGTACATACACATAGTACATAGTGCCTCTGCAATGCAAAAGGATAGGAGAGCTGGGAGCACAGGAGAGCTGTGTCCCAAGCGAGCTGACAGGAAGAGTTTTTCACAGTCGTAGTGCGGCTGATTGACAGGTTGAGTCGTGGAAGCTGGAGGTGAAACCATTTGGACCTTATCAGCCGAACATCAAAATTAATCAGCAGTCCAAAGACAGATGGAGGCGGTACACTCTGTCTTTTTCCAGGACCTGGTTTAGCTACTAGGCTTGGCTAACTGCATGCAGCGGGGCTGAAGCTTTATCCTGCTTTCCCTGCCTCCTT